ATGGCTGCTATGAAGGAATAGTGAAATAACTTGGTGATTTCTGTCTAGCTACAAGTGAACAAATATCCACATTTTTAAAAACATCACAAATTGTACCCTTGACAGCAGTGTCTTATCAAAGTGTCCAAGGACTGAATTGTCATGGAGACTGAACTAAACTCTCTTAGTCCACTTCAGGGTTGAGAATCAAGTCACTACCTCTAATTAGAGTGCTGAAATTCACCCTCTGAGGAGGGCTAGCAAAAGCCTATGCACCACTAAAGACCTCAGAATAGAATGCGGGGCTTTATTCTCCCAGTTTGGCACCCTGGCACCTGTTGCACCATTAAATACACTTCAAGAAAATATATTAGCCTTGATAATGGCTTCCTAATAACTGAAAATTAATTGAAATCCGTCAACCTTCAAAATGAAGCTTACCTTTTCAGAACACAGTTCAGGGATTTAGTCATGCATTTAAAACACTGTGCCCCTACTAAACCTTTACCTACTAGTGTGCTATGATAATAGACCACATAATGTAATAGTTCTCTCAGTGCACTGTGTCTCTTTAACGCCTATACAGTGCTGACTTGTAAAAACACTTTTTAATATCTTTCCCTATTACATTAAAACTAGAATTTCTGGCAAAAGCTTTATTTGCTCATAAAAATGGTATTTGAAAAAGCCTAAAATTAAAAACTGTGTTTACGTCTAACACTTACGTGCCTTCAAAGTATACTGGAGTACTATGTACAGAATATACTAAAAGCTACTTATAGTTTTGTACCCAAGTTCATAATAAGCTATTGTTGCACCTTTTTGGCACAGTGGAAGATTAAAAGAATTATTATTTTTGATACACGCATAAAAAACCCCAATTTGTAACCAGATGAACTATGATCTAATTTACCTTCATAATGAAAGCAAAAGCGTAGTTTCTTAAAGCATTATTTTTGGCTCTGACCACTTTAAAGGTATGCAAACGTTAGCACGTAGCCTTTCTTAGCACCGTTCTTTAATGTAGTTTAAGAACTGTAATGATTGTTTCACAAATACAACCTGTTTGGTTTCCAGCCTTTTACCTATTTTGTTAAAATATTTTCTTTACAATGTTTGCCGCAATTGTTTGTTGTGAAAAAATTCATTGTGAAAAAACAGACTGTATTGATTGAGGTAACTGTTACTGTCACAGCAGAGTGAGTACTCCTTTAATCAAATTTATAATTTGTAGAAGTTACAAAAAGAAAGAGAGAGAGAAAAATAAATAAGCCCTAAGGTGACTATTAACATATTCTAGTTAACTCATTAAACCAGTAATTAACTTTTAAAGTACTATTCCCCAGTATTTCTTCTCAGATTTTAAAATATAGTTACAGTATATACTACTTTCTTTGTAACGTGCAAAATTGTAAAATACACTTAGTTTTCATGAACTCATTTGCACTGCTATAATTAGGGTTATTTCAACACTTTTATTTTCAGGGATTCATAATTTTATTGTAATAAAAATTCTGAGGTTTCTTTTCTTTTTTTCCTAATTTTGAGAAAATTGGGCTTGCCTTTTTTTTTGTTCTTAAAAGGCTAAATATGTGTGGGTGCTTCCTGTGCATTAAAATAGCTCAAAATAAAATGTTTTCAAATATTGACTAAGCATATTTAATAATTTAAAGATAAAAAACTATTAATATACAGTAGCTTTGCACTCAGACTACAGCAAGTTCTGTTCCTAGTGCCCAACCTGAGTGCTCTAATTCGAGTAGGGATTAGGGAACTCCACAGGAAGATGGTGGGAAACAATCCTACATCTTCACCAGGGGTCAGGGCAGCACTGATGCCACTTCACAGTTGTTACTGCAGCCTCAGCATGGGAATAGTCTTCATAGCCCCTACACTACATCCCACCCCCAAACACCATGTGGAGACAGTGGCAGTAGATCCACTTGCCCTATCACTGGCTGTTCCACCCTAAAAAGCCATTGCACTTGAGGCTGACTTTGCTCCCATTGAAGCCAATGGCAAAACTCCTATAGACTGCAGTGATGCATAACTGGACCTGATGTTCCGAGGGAGCTGAGCTATACAGAGCTTGACGTATATATCCTCTATGCAATTTCCTGAAATCCCCCTTCCCCACGCAACATGATCATAGGAATTCTCCTGAAGCCAGGGCCCTCAGTCCCTAGGAAGGGAAGGAATTGAAACGTTGTATATTAATAGTAATTCTGACAGTCACGACAGTTCATTACAATACAATTATAGCTTTGCACTCAGATATTGTGGTTATATGAGTCAATTATATGCTGTTTAAAACTATAAATACATATTTTGCCCCCAGCCTGGACTATGTGGCATATACTTTTAAAAAAATGCCTAAATACATATTTACCTGAATGTGTTCCAGTTACTCAGGTAAATATGTATGTACCAGTTCAGAAGTAGTTATGGGCTCTTTGAATAAATAATTCATATTTTATAACCTTGCATGAAAGAATTATTCTCCTGTTTTGCCTTTTTTTTTAAAAAAAAAAATTGAAGAAATAAAATACAGAGCTTCGTTGTGCTTTCACTAAATTAAGGAGGTGCACCAACCAACTAAACCGAGAAAATTCAACTATGTAGCTCCTATTGTGTTGGTATGAACTAAGGACATTAAGCCAGATTTTGATCTTGCTTGCACTAGTGTAAATCCAGAATACTTCTGTTGAAATCAGTGAAGTTATTCTGGATTTTCTTGGGTGTAAATGAGGCCTGAGTCTGGCCAAATGTGCTTCGTTTACACCATTATTTTGTTGGTAAGGAAGTAGAAGCCTTCATTTTAAATTATTTTTGTCACATTCATATCTTCATTGTCATTTGAAAGAAGATTTGTTTGTAGTTGACATAAATTAAGATGTCATTTTTTTGTGATTGGAAGAAGAATGTTGTAAGGATAATGCAAGTGTCTTAAACGATGGTATTTTCTGCACAGAGAGGAGTTACACTAAGATATCTTTTCAGTTTCAGTAGTTCTCCAATTTTATGATATTTGAAAAGGCTGCGTTGCATTATTGTCCATGCCAAGGTCAGTTTTTGAAACACTTATAAATGTATTGGCCCAAATTCACCCATAGGGTAACTCTATTGACTTGATCTGAGTTACACCAGGGATAAATGCAACCCATTCTTTTTATATTTTTCCCCAGCCTCTTTATATTTTATGCTGGAAATATAAGTACCTTGTGTGCCCTCAGACTAATCAGAATAAGAAGCAGTTTTGCCTTTGCCAAAAAATAGAACGATCATTTTTCACATTCTTACATTTTCCAGTTCAGTTTCAAGTAAGATTATGTTACTGTGACTTCTGAATTCCTGAAAACTCTCTGCTCTCTGTCGCTGTAAAGGCCCAAGTGAGCATTTCAAGGAAAAATCTGAAGCTTTTCATGCAGTATGTTTTGTGTTGTGCATACCAGATACAGTTAACGTTTTGTGTGCATGTGATTAGTGTGGAAAAAAATTAATGCAGTCCAGTATTATGATTTATGGACTGAATCCTTTGCCCACTGAACACTTGCCAAAATGAAAATCTTTTTTTTCTCCTTTGGATATTAGAAACAGCTACTGTTTTTGTTGATCTTTTTAACTTCTGAATAGGTCTATTTCAAGACATAGCAGCATGGGAGCTCAGATTAATAATATACTTATTCAGCCAGTGATGCTGAGTGAAACCATTGCTAGCATGAGTATGAAGGATAGAATTTCTACAAATTATTTTCAGGTGCATTAATGTATTTCTGAAAGTGGAGTATGGAGGCATTTTTGCATGAAAAGAAATGAGATATATATTTTTTGTATCATGTTGCAGGTGTACACATGAGTTTTAATGTAATTGTATTCCTCCCACCAGCTGAGAAAGACAGGGATGAAAGCAAACATCCTGTGATGAAATTCTCCTTACTGGAAAAATATTTCCCAAGCTTGGGATAGGGAAGCAACTAGTCCAATGAGAACTCTATGTCCCCCCACCTGGTGTTCAAAGTGACCACCAGCCTGATTCAAAGCCCATTGGATTCAGTGGAAGGAATTCCAGTGACTTCATTGGGTTTGGGATTAGGCCTCATTAGCCCAGCAACTTGTTATTTATCAGTTTGCCATAGGTTTGGTGTCAACTCGTTTTATGCTGTCTTTAAAATGGACTCTTTGGGACTTGGAAGTGGACTCTTAGCACAATTTTCTTGAAGCCACCCACATTGCTGTTGGTGTAAAGGGGATTATTTATTATATGTTCCATTAAAGGCTCTTCTCAGGAGACCTTTGATCCATGGACAGAAGACTCAATGGACTTGGAGGTCTTGCTGGCCTGTAGAGGCACAACCTTTAGGCCACAATGATTATAATGTAGATGAAGGCAGTTCTTTCCCTTCGCACTCCCGTGGCAGCCATAATCTAAACCTATGCAATTGCTCAATTCTTTCTTTGTGTCCTTCAAGTCTGAGTGAAAAAGAACATTCCTAGCATATGGATAAGATTGGTACTGTTGAAAGTGAAGGACTTTTCCCTAAAAATGTCTTCATGTATATTTATAGAATTAATGTTTGCTATTGCCCAGAAATTCTCAGCAGAATCAGCCAGCTAGTCTGCCCCTTTTATAGGAAGAGCTTTGCTTTTTACTTGTCTGCATTAGAGGACTCATGTCTGTTCTCTAGACTGCACTAGAAAATGTTTTGAAGAAAAGAAATGGTAGAAATTACAATTGTATATGCTGAGAAACAAGAGGTTTTACTTTTAAATGCAGCATTATGATTGTTGAGATATGCCAAAAGCTTTTCAGTCTTTATATAATTTATGGCTGGAATTTTGGTTAATGGGAGTTGGGTGATTGACTCCCTTCGGCACTTCTGAAAGTCCCAGCCTATATTTTTAAGATGATCTATATTTTCCAACATGTCACCACAGTGTATTTATCTGAACCTATTTTGAAACCTACTAAATACAACATATATTACAGAAGCCATAGTTGTACATTTCTTTGTTTTTATCAGTTGCAGCAAGCAGCTGAAGTTTCTCAGATGAGAGGAGCTCGAGTCATCTCTGCTGAAGATCTTCTGTTTTTGATGCGCAAAGATAAGGTACAGTAATAAGCTAGTCAATTTATATTGTGAACTGTAAGTTAGACAATGTGTATGTTAGTTTAATCTGTTCACTTAGTTTAAACCAAGGGAGGCATCCTTATGAATAGCAATTTGTAAAAAGGATAATGTCATTATAATTAGTTCAGTTTTAGTTTCTGGGATAACTTCAACTTATCAATAGATTTTTCACTTGATTGTTTTCACCTGCACTGGCAGAGTGATAGCAAGTTGACCTAGTAGGTTGTTTTCATCTCAAATAATAATTTAGACTATGATAAGCCGTAGCCTCTCTCTCCCTTCCACTTATATCATTATCAATCATTATAACATCCTTCCGCTTACCTGAACTCTGGCTCCTGATGTGACACTTGGCACAGCTCTGTCCTTTCCCCTCTCTACATCTAGGATGTCAATAAATCATGTCTGTTTTTTAATAATATTTCCCCAAATCATCTCTCTTCCTTCTTCCTCCCTCCCAAACAAGCTTCCAAAACCCTGGTTGATGTCCCATTCCTCTCTCATCTTGAGTATTGGCACCCTCAAACTGTACACTCCAGTTAATCCTGCATGTTGCAACTAAAATCGTCTTCAGCTCTCATTATTATGAATTTTTCCTTCTTATTTGAATCCTTCTGCAGGCCTCTGATCTCCTTCTACATCAGATTTTACATTTTCATCAATCAACATGTCTTACTGTATTTTGGCATCCATCTTCCACAGCCAGCTGTGGTTTGCACTGTCACCAAACATGAAATACCTTCTCTGATCCTGCTTGCCACTTCTCCTTCAAATCCCTCTCTTGATTAGTCTTCCACTGCTGACCTCCATTTCCTCCCCTCGATTTCCTCAAAATAAGAACGTTAGCTTATAAAAATAAACTACAATATCTAACAGACTCCTAGCCAATTCAACATATATCCTAAAGTATTTTAAGGTCAGAAACTAACAAGATGTATATATGACCTTTTCTTTCTTCACAATCAGGTCTCATTGTCTACTTAGATTGTAATCTCTTTGCAACATGGACCACCATTTCATTATTATACCGGGGCTACCAGCAACTCTGTTGTTAAAGTTGCCTTTTATAAGACTTCATTTTCAGTTGCTTATAACTTTGTCAAACTTTAACCATTTGGACTGAAATTTTTCTTGCCAAGTGTCTCCTCAGGCTGAAATTTTGTGGAAAATTTCAACTAAAATGGTGTACACTTTTCTAAGAACTAAGCTAGGGACAAATACACTTTTTTGGCCATGTTAAAAATATTCCGGTGACCTTTGCTTTGTGAGGCTCTAGTCCCTCCATGCTGTGAAATATGAACTTGAAATTTGGCAAGAGTGTGGTCTGTGTGTCAAGAATGTGCTTTTTGCCATCCCCATTAAAATGCACCCAAATTAGGTCAAGTTATAAGCCTTTGAAATCAGTTTGCACATGCTCAGTAGAGACTTCCTAGAGCTTAACAGATAAAAATTCTAAGGATTCCATCTATAATGAACATGCTCCAGCTGACGTGACTGAGCGTGACTTTCCATGCACTGGCGGCTCTGGGCTGGTGCAGACATGTTGGGCTGGGTACAAGAATTGAGACCAGGAAACCTGTCTCTCCTGTGCTTGCAATGCCCCCATTGCTGATGCGCAGCATGGAAGAAGAAGCTACCCGATATAAATATAGATGGGACAAGAACCAAAGCTGGCATGCGGGGGGGGGGGGGGACCAAATGGGACAAGTTGCTCGGGGTAACCCATGACTGGGACTGGAAGATGGGGTTGCAGGGTGGGAACTGGGACTGACTCGGCCAGGAGACTTACATTGGGAGCAGGGGTTAGAGACTAAGACTGGCTGGGCAAGAAGACAGGAAATGGGAAGCAGTGTGACAGTGGGAAGACAGATCTGCTGGTGTGGGGTGGGGAGACAGATCTGATGAGGAGCTAGGATGCCGGGGAACAGCTGGGACTGGCTGAGCAAAGAGACTGGGAGAAAGAACTGGGTGGAAGGAGAAGCTTAGATGAGAAGGCTGGGAACGAGACAGAGAAGGGAATAACTTAAGTGAGGGGGGAGGCATCGGGAGATGGGGGGAAGGGAGAAAGACACATTGGCGTTTCAGCCAGCATGTGGGAACTGGAACTGACTGATCAAGGAGACTGAAGACAAGGAGTTGTTGGGGTGGGAAGGAACTGGAATGCCTAGGCAAAGAGACCAGGACTGAGAGCAAAAGTTGGAGGGACAGCTTGGCAAAGAAATGGTAAAGCACGTTCTCCTCCAGAGCCTGAAATGGAACCCAAGATTCCTGAGTCTCACCATTCCTCTGCTGTCAGCAAATATCTATGAAACCCACTGGCACAGTGTCTCATTCCCCTCTAGTAGAGGATGGCTAATTACTACTGCTGTCAGTTACTCAGTTGGCTCAAATGGCAGAGGTCTGTGTGGTGGATCTGCAGATTCCAACCCTGCTGATGATCCATGTGATGTCAGTATAATGCCACATGATGGATTTTCTATTTTTTAGTGTGCTTTTTAAGAAATTAGAAAGTTACACACAAAAACTGCTGAAAGAATATTATTAAGGTTGCAAAGTCAAGCACTCAAAAGTAAGGAAACTGAACAATGAAGAGAAAATAAAATATTGAGTAGCTGCTGTTCAAGCAGCTTTGTCCATCCTGTGCACTGAATGACGCAGGTGTCCTGTGGAAGAAATAGTATCTGGTCATGTAATTAAAGTTGCAATCCATACACCCCAGGGTCAAAATTAAGATTGTGTAGGCAACTGTAAATCTGGCATTTCCTAACTTAAAAGTGCTTGATATTTCAACTTAAATAATGTTATTGTAATATAATTTCCTGCCTGTCTGTCTCGCTCTTCTCTCCTCCCTCCCTCGCTGTGAGATGAAGGGCTCCTACTCTGTTTGGTGCCTGCACTGAGCTGAGGATGGGCAGCTGAGGCCATGTGCGAGGTCTGGGGTGGGGCAGTGTATGTTGTGATAAAGGGAGCCCTAGAATGGGGTCTCTGCTGCTGCTGTGGTGTGGTGGCCTTAAAATGTTCATATTCTGTTACTGTTCTGGTATGTTGCCAAAAATTGCCTGAGGAATGCAAGCAAGAGAAGGGAAATGGTGATTTTAAACAGTTTAATATTGCAGCCAAACCTGACTGGAATTTTATGGGACAAATGAATGGCACAATTCTAGCCTCAGTGCTTTGTCCCTCCTGCATTTTGTAGGCTTGCTGCAAACAATGGAGCTGCTAGAGCTTCTCAGAAAAAGACTATAAGAATACTTTGTAATGGAAAGTGTCATGCAACCCCATATTTTGGTTGCCTTAGTTTCTTCTATTATAATAAGTAGACAAATTCAGAAATAAGGTGTACATGTTTGACTATGAAGGTAATTAACGACTGGAACAATTTTCCAGGGGTTGTGGTGGATTCTCTATCACTGACCATTTTTAAATTGAGATTGGATGTTTTTCTAAAAGATGAACTCTAGGCATTATTTTGGGGAAGTTCTATGGCCTGAACTATACAGAAGGTCCCACTAGATGATCACTGTGGTCCCTTCTAGCCTTGGGATCTATGGATAAGTATTCTGGTCAAGAAATGAAATAATTTGGACTAAAAATGTTGAAATCATTTTCATTCCCCAGGTTTACACAAGGAACAAATTTTCAAAATTCAACATTTTCTTTGATTTTTTTTTAATATTTTTCATTTTCCACCTTTTCCTTTTTTCCCCTTTTTTCTCTATCCCACTTGTTCTTTCTTTAATCACTACCCTTTTTTCTTCTTTTGTCACTAAATAAGGTAAGAAAGGAAAGGGAAAGGGATACCAATAAACCAAAGAAACCCAAAAAGCTGAGAAACTGCAACAGTTTGTGTTTTCTGATTTTGTCAAAGCACAAATTCTTGATAATTTTTCATTTTGAAAAATGGCCTATTTTTGACATATCATCTGAAAATTTTCACCTCTAATCATAGAGCATGATATGCACACAGTAGCTGTTAGGCTTCCAAGAGGGTGTTAGAGGAGATTGGTTAATGTTCACTCAGAGCTCCTGGAACTGTGTGTTTATAGGCTAAATTTTCAAAAGTAAATAATGATTCTGGGTGCCCAACTTGAGATACCTTAAGCAGGCCTGATTTTCTGAAAGTGTTGAGCATCCGCCTTCTGAAAATCAGCCTTTAGTGGTTTGGCACCAAAAATCACCTGTCACTTTTGAAAATTTAGGCCCCAGAGTCAATAGAATTTTTATCACTGCACTATAATAAATCTGTAGAGGGCCCAAATTAGCAGCTGCTCATGTGGATGATTCCTTAAAGTCATTGGGGTTTTCCATGCATTGAGCTGCTGGAAAATCAGAGATTCTGGATATATTTAGTAAATATTACATATTAACCGAATAATATACTTACTTTCTCTCTCTCTCTACGTACACACAGTGTGTGTTCTATAATGATCCCTATTCTGTAAAGCAACATTTTGTATACATTTTAATCATGATCAATGTACTTTTTTTTCCTCCCTTAGAAAAAGCTTAGAAGGCTGCTCAAATATATGTTCTTCCGAGACTACAAATCTAAAATTGTCAAAGGCATTGAAGAAGATGATCTCCTTGAAGGTAGAAAAACTTTAAGATACTTTTGCCTTTTTAAGGGAATAATCAAATTGTGCACTGTGAATCTCAACAGAAAATGTATACCCCCATCTAAATAGTTTTTGACACTCAAAATATTGGCTTATTTGGCAAGTCCATTTAACCTTGTGCTTTTCCATTCAGATTACTTCATAAAAGTTCAATATTTCCATTCACCATCCAAATGATAAGTCGGACTGTTTAATGTCAGAACTGTGTTGAACTAAGAAATTGGTGCTGATTAAAAGGCTAATTGATTTCAGTATGGGTAATTTAAATGTGGCAGCTACAGTGTGCAAGGGAGAGGTACATGTCTTTGAGATTCATTTGAATGGACATTTGTTAATTTATTATCAAGGGTTTTTGACATATTTTACGAAGGAACCATAATCTTAAAGTCACTTACTACTGATATATGACCAGAACTTTCTTCCTGTGTTGTTTGAAATTTTAAGGAACCAATGCATAGTTTAAACAATTGGAAACACTTTTTCTTCTCCATTTCATAAGCAAGTCACAGAATTTAAAACAACTGGACATAACTTTTAATCTGAGTAGATTTTGGTTTCATCTTGGGCCAAATCTTCAGTTAGTAAATATCCATTTAACTCCACTGAAGTCAGAGAAGCTATGCTGATTTACACTAGCTGAAGAGCTGGCCTCTCGTTGGCAGATAGTAAGGTTGCAGATAGACCCGATCAGAGGTAAATCTTTCTTACTTTTAATAGATACTTGAGGAGGGAGTCTCTTTCTGTTTTACACTTTGGCAAAACTTTTGTAGCTTGTCATGCCAATAAAGTCTCACTAAATTGATTTGAATTAAGTAGTAAATTATAGTTTTCATATCTAAATCTTTTGTAAGTCATGAACTTTTGAAAATGCCACTAAAAAGTAAGTATTCCCCTGAAAATTAAGAGTTCAATTTTCAAATGGGGCTTTACAGTTGCAGCCATGAATTCTAAGCACACTGTATTTTACACATGCAGTGTCCGTTGTACAAATTGTATGCGCAAATATAGTGCTGAAACTATAGAAGCCCCATTTGAAAATTTGACCGTCATTTTTTGTGGTCTCATCTACTGTACTTGCTGAATTTTCAGTTTTATAGCAAAATGAGGTTCCCAGCCTTCATATAGATATGACATGTTGTGCCAGGATTTCTTCATGGGCTACTTAGCAACTGGCTTGTTGTCTTCCTTCCCCTTTTTCTTGTTTGTTTCTTTACCGGGAGGGGATTGTCCTCTTGGTAAATAGGCTGTGTGTCCAACTATCTCCATAGTTGACAGTGGGATAAAACAGGCTCTAATTCTGCTCTAATGCCAACAGTTTAGTTAACTTTTTACCCAGGGTCTTCTGGAGTTTGTCTGAGAGGTGACCTATCTTATATCCTGTCCTAGCAGCAAAGTTGCATTTTGAGGTTTGTGTGATGATTGCTTTTAAGACATAAGGTCATTAAGATTGACTGATTGCCATGTATGCATTTGGGAAGGAACTTTCTCCCCTGTGTTACATTGGCTGAGTGTATGCATGCACATGAGAGAGGAGTCACCTCCGCAGGAAGATTCTGTGCAGATCAGGTGGTAACAAGAAAGGGTTTTAAAGTGTTTGCTTATGATTGGCAGGGCAGAGGGCATATCAGTTATGGTTGAGCATAGGGCAGTTTTGGCTCAGATGATTAGCAGGTAGTGCCCTGTTTGATGTAGTTCACGTTCATAGTGCACTCTGGTTATGAAAGCCTGTGATGTTAGTAATTAATGTTGCAGTTTGATAAGTGGTTGTCATGGCCTCATTTTCCAAACTCAGACATTTGGGGTCAGGAGGCACTAATGATGGTGTGAGGATGGGTGTGAAGATATAAGTAAAAGCAGGCCCTCACAACTGTGCACAGGTACAGAGCCTCCCATGAGCAAAAATGTTCTTTTCCAAAAGAGGGTTTAAACTTAGTGACTAACAGAACATTTCGAATATATTTGTTAGCAGAATGGGAAGCACTGTATTGTTCAAACAGGTCCTCACTTTTAATGTTATTAAAGTGTGTCTTGCAGATGTAAAGAGTCACAGATGAACCAAAATAACAGACTTGTTTTTAATTTTGTTCACCTTTCTATAGACAAATTCAACAGTAGCAGTGTCAACAAACGTCAGAAGCTGGCTCAAGACTTTCTCAACTCTATTGATCAGACTGGAGAGCTCTTGGCTATGTTTGAAGATGATGAGATTGATGATGTTAAACAAGAGCGGATGGAGGTAATTTCTGTCCTTTTCACATCCAATCCCAGAATAGAAAGGAAATGTGCGATAGATGTCATACATCATGTTGTTCTGATATATTTTTTTCTCACCACTTTTCAAATCATTGATGCCTTTCTAGGTAGATGGTGTAAATATAATCTTATTTCCATGTTTCTTCCAAGAAGCAAATGTTTCTTGATATCCTGCGTATGCATGCTGAGAGGTAGGGGGATGAACTAGATGTATTTCAGAGTAACAGCCGTGTTAGTCTGTATTCGCAAAAAGAAAAGGAGTACTTGTGGCACCTTAGAGACTAACCAATTTATTTGAGCATGAGCTTTTGTGAGCTACAGCTCACTTCATCGGATGCATACCGTGGAAACTGCAGCAGACTTTATATACACACAGAGAATATGAAACAATACCTCCTCCCACCCCATTGTCCTGCTGGTAATAGCTTATCTAAAGTGATCATCAGGTTGGGCCATTTCCAGCACAAATCCAGGTTTTCTCACCCTCCATCCCCCCACACAAATTCACTCTCCTGCTGGTGATAGCCCATCCAAAGTGACAACTCTCTACACAATGTGCATGATAATCAAGTTGGGCCATTTCCTGCACAAATCCAGGTTCTCTCACCCCCTCACCCCCCTCCCAAAAACCACACACACAAACTCACTATCCTGCTGGTAATAGCTCATCCAAAGTGACCACTCTCCCTACAATGTGCATGGTAATCAAGGTGGGCCATGTCCAGCACAAATCCAGGTTTTCTCACCCCCCCACACCCCCATACACACACAAACTCACTCTCCTGCTGGTAATAGCTCATCAAAACTGATCACTCTCCAAGTTTAAATCCAAGTTAAACCAGAACATCGGGGGGAGGGGGTAGGAAAAAACAAGGGGAAATAGGCTACCTTGCATAATGACTTAGCCACTCCCAGTCTCTATTTAAGCCTAAATTAATAGTATCCAATTTGCAAATGAATTCCAATTCAGCAGTTTCTCGCTGGAGTCTGGATTTGAAGTTTTTTTGTTTTAAGATAGCGACCTTCATGTCTGTGATTGCGTGACCAGAGAGATTGAAGTGTTCTCCGACTGGTTTATGAATGTTATAATTCTTGACATCTGATTTGTGTCCATTTATTCTTTTACGTAGAGACTGTCCAGTTTGACCAATGTAAATGGCAGAGGGGCATTGCTGGCACATGATGGCATATATCACATTGGTGGATGTGCAGGTGAACGAGCCTCTGATAGCGTGGCTGATGTTATTAGGCCCTGTGATGGTGTCCCCTGAATAGATATGTGGGCACAGTTGGCAACGGGCTTTGTTGCAAGGATAAGTTCCTGGGTTAGTGGTTCTGTTGTGTGGTATGTGGTTGTTGGTGAGTATTTGCTTCAGGTTGTGGGGCTGTCTGTAGGCAAGGACTGGCCTGTCTCCCAAGATTTGTGAGAGTGTTGGGTCATCCTTTAGGATAGGTTGTAGATCCTTAATAATGCGTTGGAGGGGTTTTAGTTGGGGGCTGAAGGTGACGGCTAGTGGCGTACTGTTATTTTCTTTGTTAGGCCTGTCCTTGAGTAGGTAACTTCTGGGAACTCTTCTGGCTCTATCAATCTGTTTCTTTACTTCCGCAGGTGGGTATTGTAGTTGTAAGAAAGCTTGACAGAGATCTTGTAGGTGTTTGTCTCTGTCTGAGGGGTTGGAGCAAATGCGGTTGTATCGCAGAGCTTGGCTATAGACGATGGATCATGTGGTGTGGTCAGGGTGAAAGCTGGAGGCATGCAGGTAGGAAAAGCGGTCAGTAGGTTTCCGGTATAGGGTGGTGTTTATGTGACCATTGTTTATTAGCACTGTAGTGTCCAGGAAGTGGAACTCTTGTGTGGACTGGACCAGGCTGAGGTTGATGGTGGCAGAACCACTAACCCAGGAACTTATCCTTGCAACAAAGCCCGTTGCCAACTGTGCCCACATATCTATGGGCAAGGTAGCCTAGTTCCCCTTCCTACCCCCTCCCCCCGATGTTCTGGTTTAACTTGGATTTAAACTTGGAGAGTGGTCAGTTTTGATGAGCTATTACCAGCAGGAGAGTGAGTTTGTGTGTGTATGGGGGTGGGGGGGTGAGAAAACCTGGATTTGTGCTGGACATGGCCCACCTTGATTACCATGCACATTGTAGGGAGAGTGGTCACTTTGGATGAGCTATTACCAGCAGGATAGTGAGTTTGTGTGTGTGGTTTTTGGGAGGGGGGTGAGGGGGTGAGAGAACCTGGATTTGTGCAGGAAATGGCCCAACTTGATTATCATGCACATTGTGTAGAGAGTTGTCACTTTGGATGGGCTATCACCAGCAGGAGAGTGAATTTGTGTGGGGGGATGGAGGGTGAGAAAACCTGGATTTGTGCTGGAAATGGCCCAACCTGATGATCACTTTAGATAAGCTATTACCAGCAGGACAATGGGGTGGGAGGAGGTATTGTTTCATATTCTCTGTGTGTATATAAAGTCTGCTGCAGTTTCCACGGTATGCATCCAATGAAGTGAGCTGTAGCTCACGAAAGCTCATGCTCAAATAAATTGGTTAGTCTCTAAGGTGCCACAAGAACTAGATGTAGTCATAGATCTTTCAATCCATCTCAGCTCTGTTTTCCTTGGATAGACAGCAAATTCTATTTCAAAATATTGTGGTTAGGATAGTGCCAATTGTGAGGAAGTCTTTCTGATTACTCCTTTTATATGGGAAAATGTTTTTAAAGAATGTACAATCAGCTTCCTTTTTCCATGTTAGCATAGCTTAGAAATAAAGTGGAAAGTGTTCTGCTCCCACACCACACAGTCTTGAGCTTATCCTTCTCTGTTTAAGATCTGCTTCCTTTTCTATGTATACATTTAAAGTCTATCTTCATTATTATTTCAGAGATCTGCCCTGAATGTCTTTACTTTGTATTATTTATAAGATCTCTAAAGTGTCTTGTTTGCTTTTTAAAAAGAATTTACATATTTTCAGTGGTAGAGAGGTGGTAGGGGTTTTTGTTGTTGTTGTTGTTTTTCTTTTCTTTGTGGTGAGCTGTCTGATGTATTTGACATCTATGCCTTCCTGGTTCTTCTATCTGTTGGTGGATTTCCTAAGAAGCCTAGATAAGAAATAACTTGATTTTCATCCTGTGCTAGAATAGTGGTTTTCAGTCTTTCTTGTACTTGGACTTCCCATCCCAATTAGGCAGAATCTTGCCAGGATCTCCTCCCATTTAGTAATACGGGGAGGGCTGGGTGGTTGTGACCCCCAGGTTGAGAAACCATGCCACAGAGCAATGGTTTCCAGCCTCTGTAGCAGGAGTGGCAATTCAGCCAAGTCATTTAAGATCTTCCCTCACCACCACTCAACCTGCATTTCAAGTTCCTTGGAGGAAGGACATTTCCTTTTATTGCTTCTGTACAGCACCATTCATGTTTTTGGCACAGTATACAAGTGGTAAGTAGTAATACTATATTAATGAGAGAGCAACTGTTCTGGGTCCTGGCCCATAACTGTTTGCTGCTTTACATTTACTTGTGCCAGTACAACCAACTTTTTAGTCAGCTAAACTGTAGGAGTTGCTTGAAAAGTGTGAAGACACTTATCCTGGAGAAGCCCATTCCTACTTTCTAGATAATTCTTTTCTATCAGCCTGCTGGAGAATATGCTCACATGCCATAGGCTAAGCTTTAGCATGACTTCATTTACCCTTTTTTCCCCACTCATAAAAGTTCAGTTCATGAATCGTAGGGGTGCAATTAAATTCATAATAGGATTGATTCTCCTCTGACGCTGGTTTTACAGTGGTCTAGTTCCATTAGTTTCAATGAATTTACTCGTGATTTGCACCAGAATGAGAAAAGAGCCATGCCCTATAACTTTTACAGTACATTCACATTGAAACACCATGAAGTCTGTAGTCAGTGTTTGTAATAGAACCAGAAATCTAGTTCATGATGCATGTTACTTCAAAGTGCTTAGAATTTTGCCCCCCTCCACACTTTTTTTTAATTTTATTTTTTGGAGTGGATCGGGAGAAATAAGCAATTGCAGAGAATGTATTCCATTCCTAAAAAGAAGAGTTGTTAGTATGTTAAGTAGTCTAGTGTATCACATTTTCTGTGTGCAGTAGATTATGATTAACCCATGCTAAATTTTGGAGGAAGTCCAATAGACATACATACTTTCAAAACTTTAACAACCTTCTTTAAGGAATTAGTGTACTTAAATCGTGAACTGTGATCTAAAGGCAGTGTTCCTTTTAGGTATCAATTACCTCAGAAATGTGTGGTTATCTTGGTTTGGACAACTGCAAATGGTTTCAGTTCTGCTTTGCCCAGGGCCAAAAACATGCTAAGTTGTCCAGAGCAGATGATAAACATATATTTCTGATGTCATTATGGGCTAAACAGGATATGATTGTTTAGTGGTATGGTTTCACTTATGATACCGAAAGCAAATATTGTCTATGCTTTATTTCTTTAAAAAATATTTGATAAAATTATAGCTGAAATTACATGAAATGTCTTCCTCTTCTATGATGTCCATCACGTATTTCCATCACTGAAGATTAAGGAAAGCTCCAACCCATTTTCAAACACTAATGAAGTAGAACAAGTAGCTTTGATTAAAAAATACCAGCTAACTCTGTTAATTTACATAGAAGGGGCATTCTACAATCAGAATATCTTGCAGCTAGAGACATCTTACTATAGTGTTAATCTGACACAAGCATACTACCTCTGGCAATTATAGGAATCAAAAAGGTGCAAGTGAAAGATGAACAATCTTAAAATTCAGGGCTTAAAAGTAATTGAGAGTAGAAGAATCATTCTCAGTTCAATTAAGTACATGATTATATTGCAATTGTATTGTATATTACATTCCATGTATCAGTATAAGAAAGTATCAAAAACAGCAATAAATAGTTGCAGCAGTAGTCAACTGCCTTGTCAATAAAAGCTGGATTAGTGATTCTGTATCACTGAATCGTTA